TGCGCACCAGCTCGGTTGCACCTAATTCAAAAATAATGATTGAGACGTTTTCACACTAAATGGGAGATGCACTTACAAAAGTCTTTCCCTAGTTGAACCTGTTGACGCTTCTTCGTGCGCTTTGTAAAACGACGTGCACGTTTCCTCGCATACCTCGGTCAGCCAGCGCTGACAAAAGAAAATTTTTATTCCTATCCGAAAATTCGACTGACTACTATTTAATATGAGAATTATCAAACCTGATATTCGTCACGACTAGTGAAATTCCTGGAAATCCGAGAATAATCTTGTGGTCGTCCGGCAGCGCCGTTCTCGGAATAGTTCTCTTGGCAATGCAGCGCCAAAACTTCGTGGGTTGGAAAACACTTGTTACACAGCGGACACAAGATGCTCCCAGCCTCGGCTTCCTTGTTAAGTCGTGCGCGAATTTCAGAAACATCCTCCTCTTTTCTGCGGTGGACAACCCTCAAGTGGCTCCACAAATTCTTCCTTTTCATCGGCCTGCCGCATTCTGGGCAGGTTACAAGAGCAGAAGACATTCTGAACAGGGAAACCAACAGTCCATACTTCCTAAGAGGTGAAACCTTTAGAAACTTACAAATTGAATTGAAAATACTGAAACACAATTCCACGGCCGGTTGAGGGCTCGCCACCGCTGAGCTCGACTCAGTACACTAAAAGCGATATAACTTAGATGGCCAAAAGGGGAATTCGCATTTTGCGTAGACGAGCGCTCAATTTTGCAGAAAAGCCATCAAGATGAAGCACAATAACAGAAACTGGTTTGATTCAGTAAGGCGAAGAGGTGGTGCGACAGTTGCTGCCGCTTTCAGAAATCCAATTTCTGCTGAGGAGCAAAGCCCAGGGTGCGCGGGTGCGCGAACAATCTCGTTTTTGCTTTCACACCTCGCCCTAGTCAGACATGACCTCTTAATTACCACCTAGCACGTGTCACCTCATGCCTCGTAGCAATCGCCTGTGGCGTGACCTCACTTTTCTATTCACAGAGCCACAGACCCAGAATCGTTATCAAAAAAAGAAACAGTGGGAGTTATGTTTGGTATTTCACCTAGTTTTGGTCATTTTTCTCGCTCAAGAAAACGTTCAGTGTGAAAAACTTACACAAGTTCCTATTAAATCAAAGTATTTCCTATAAAATTCCCCAGCAATTCTCCCACCACTTTGGCAAAATGGCGATCTCGCGACTTTGCGACTGGTGCCCCTTTTTTGCCAGGGCAGAAAAACTCCAATGGAGACGAAAATATACTCAAATAGTGAATTACGCTTCATTCCCTACGTATTTCAGCAATAAATTAACCATGAGTGGCTGGTTACCTGTGTAGAACAATGCCGAGGCTAAGTTTATTCACTACCACTGGATACCAACGAAAAAATTAAGTGACTCACTTGAAAATATTAGATTTGTGATACTTTTGCGGAACCAAAAATGACAGTGAAGAAGTGTGAAATCATATCAACACTGAAACATAATTGAAACATGAGCTAAATTGTGTCCATTTGGTGAAAGTTTACGTATTCAATATAGAAGTAATTTTCTTGAATTCAACCCAACAGACGTGAAACATCATACTAACACTTGAAACAAATTTTCTTAATCTATCACAAGGAAAGAGATTCAAATTCGAAATGCTTTTGAAATTAACTCACTCCTGCTTCGTAACAATTTAGTTTAACTTTATGTAGCTTTGGAATTTGTTAGCTTGCTTTGCTTCTTGTTTCGTTTGATTGCTTTATGTACCGCATCTTGAAAACGTATTAATGTAATGAAGAACCATCTCAGAGAAACACGACCTCCCAAGGATACTTGCCACTGAAGGCGAAACGATGTATCAACAGATGACAATAATAGCAGGAGGAGAAGAAATAAAATGAGTGCAAACATTAAACAGAATGAAAACGACGTAGTGGACTGTGACTAGTGCAACTTTATACCACGAGAACAGCGAAGAGTGGAATGGATACTCTTTGAACAACATGGTGGACCCATTAAACACGCTCCT